ATGTCGCTCAAAGAAGATCTGAAGAGCCATAGTTTTTGGAAAGCAGTGCGTTGCGAATTCCTCACCACGCTTCTATACACCTTCATTGGGTGTGGATCGTGGACAGTATGGTCACAGGACGCAAAAAGACAGCTACTGGACGAAAGAAGAATTGTCGAACACGAGGTCAAAATTGCCCTCACGTTCGGACTAGCTACAGCTACTTTTGTCCAGTGCGTAGGACATATTAGTGGTGCCCATCTCAATCCGGCCGTTACCATGGCAATGTTGGTTACGCGTAACGTCAATGTATTACGAGCTGTCTTTTATATAACATCTCAGTGTGCTGGTGCTATCACTGGCGCAGGAATTCTGTACGGACTGACCCCACCTGAAGCACATGGTATACTAGGAGTCACTACTGTTCACGCGGACATGACCAAAGGTCAAGCTTTTGGTGTGGAATTCATGGTAACGTTCATCATGGTTTTTACTTTTTTTGCTAACCTTGATCCTAAGCGTTCGGATATGGGTTCCCGGTCACTTTCCATAGGATTATCTGTTACCCTTGGACACATGTTTGCGGTAGGTAATTCCATTTTCTTCCAGTTTTGCTTTTCAAGAAAAAAATGTTTTTGCTGAATTCATCGTGGATAAAAACAATTGTTCTACAACGCATATATATATATATATATATATATATATATATATATATATATATATATATATATAATCTTGTACTGGACATTGCCTTCTTGGGAATTTATATATATATATATATATATATGTATTTATATATTTATATATATATATATATATATATATTGACCACTAATATTATCTCTCTCTCTCTCTCTCTCTCTCTCTCTATATATATATATATATATATATATATATATATATATATATATATATATAAAATCTCTGAAACCCGCGATAACAGAAAGGTTGATTGATGTTTATAATATATATATGTGTGTGTGTATGTATGTGTGTATATGTATACGCATACTTATCGAGGCACTCTTAGGGAACTCAGGTTCGAATCTTGCCGGAGAGCGCATATATTTCTCTAATCAGATTTCTCGAATATATATATATATATGTATACATATATATATATATATATATATATATATATATATATATATATATATATATATATATATATATATATATATATACATATATATATATATATATATATATATATACATATACATATATGCATATATATATATATACATATATACATATGCATATATATATATATATATATGTTTTGTTTTTTACATATATACATATATGCATGTATATACATATTCTTTTATGAATTAAGTTGATTTTATGACATGTCAAGCGTTAATGGATTATTCCTTATTTAATTTGAATTTTATATACTGTACCGTGTGAGGATCGAACTCACCACTCATAGAAAACGGAACTATTCTCCCTCAACATTACCTTCCAGAAGGAAAATTAAAAATTCCAGCACTTAAAAATAAATAAGTAAAATAGCATTAACTGCTTTGGCCAAATTGCTGAGATGCACCTTTGATGTTATTGCATACGATTCCTATATTCTTTTCATATTGATTTTTTTTATCACATCATTTCAACCGATAAGTTCTTCAGCCTTCATCATCTGTGTATTGTATCTAGTGCTTTTCAAATATCTTTAGACACAATACCTTCATCGTTATTGTCTTTATTCCAACAGTTAGGATGATATATTCTACAACCTTCTCAGGTGTATATTATATCTAGGGCTCGTTAACTATCACTGTACATATTCAAACTAACATCTTCATTTCTGTCTGAATTTCTGGGATGGGGAATTATCATTATTTACTCTATATTCAGACTACTGTCGTCATCTTTGTTTTTAGTACAATAAAGATGGGGACAATAATCTAAATATGAAGAGTGTAAATAATAGTATCTTCATCTTTGTTGTATTTATTACTTCATTTCAGCCGATATGTTATTCGGCCTTCCTCAGTTGTATATTGTATTCAGTGGCCTTCAAATATAACTGGTCATTTTATTCAGACAAATTTGTTTATATTTGATGTTTTTATCTTAATATTTCAGCTGATGTATTCTCCAACATTCCTCAAATATATATAATATTAATTATTCTTGAAGTAATGTTGTACATATTTAAAAAAATATATTTTTTCGATAGGAGTATAGTTTTCGCATCCTATTTTTTTTAAAACTTTTTTTTTCCTTTATGGCCGACTTATTTCCAATGGATTTCAAATTTCGTGTTTTTTTTTTGTTTGTTTTTACCATTGAGTTGATGTATGCTTGCACTGCTTAACACAGGGATCGAAGTCACGACTTAAAGGAAATTGTTTTAGTTGTTGTTGTCGCTGAATTAAAGCTCACCTGTACTGCTTGATCCCAAGGATTAATCCTACAACGTTTTCTTTTTTTTTTTTATCCACAAGTGGCGAAAAGCGCCGTCCTCGTTTTCTGGAAGTCGCTAGTTCGATCCCTGCGTCAAGCAGTGTAGCAATTAAACATCACAGCGAAAAAACAAAACAAAAAAAACCCCCCAAAAACCAGAGAAACAACAAAAGTGTGGTGGGGGGATAACGGAACCTGATATTTCTACGCTAAAACATCGGATGTGGCAGAAAACGAACTACAGGATCAATAAATATGTTTCGAAGAAATAAGTACTTGCATTTAACACGAGAGACAATGGAATAACGACCTAGTATAAACGGATAGAAACTTTAGAATAAAAACAATCAAGACGAGGATGTACGGATCTTATTTAACGACAATTTTAAACCATCATTGCATTTTCATCGACGAACATTAAATTAAATTCTTCAGGGACGACTGATCATTAAATTAAAATTTAATTTAGAAACGAAATCGAATTCCATGTCATCTGTATAGTTTATAGTTGCTTATTTGCAAATTATGTAATGGTTGCGTTGATAGAATTTTAAAATAAGGAAAAAATATTGTGGGTGTTAGTGACGAGGTTTATTTAGTTCGTGCGTCGCTTGCGAACATGTATACAATGCAGTGTTATAGAAGCGTGGCTGCGTAAATAGTGCCACGATTATGAACGCAGAAAGTGAATGGAGTTTAGATTCTTTTGTTTGCGCTAAAGCTCTTGAAAAAGGCATGAAACTATCTCCCACGAGCTGTGGGTTAAATCACAAGGCAGAATAGTCTCTCCAGATTAGAGTACCAGCCAGTTTAGGAGAAAGGAAACTGTATTCAAAACCAGCCTGAAGAGGGATGGACTACGTCAGATTATCTTACCCTCGACATACCACTGCAGCTGTCTGTCTGTCTGTCTCTCTCTCTCTCTGTCTCTCTCTCTCTCTCTCTATATATATATATATATATATATATATATATATGAGCACACACACAAATTTATATATATATGTGTGTGTGTGTCTTAGCACACACACACACACACACACACACATATATATATTGATAGATAGAAACAGGATTAGATAGATAGATATATAGATAGATACTGAACAGACTGAGATAGATAGATAGATAGATAGATAGATACATGATAACAAAACAGATATATAGACACAAGAGATAAAAATAGATAGATAGATAGATAGATATTAATTGTAAAGGGTAAAGAGATATTACTTGGGGTTAGATATAGAAACATGAACAGAAATATATAGAGAGATATGAACGTATCTACATAGATAGATAGATAGACAGACAGACAAATAGATGTGTGTGTGTGTGTGTGTGTGTGTGTGTGTGTGTGTGTGTGTGACGTTTCGTTTTAGGATCTGGATAATCATTGTTCGCCAAAACTTCCTGTGGTTACTCTTTTAACCTCCTTTCTTTCCTATCTTTGTCTGCAATTCTTTCCGAAAAAAAAACTCGATGTATCCTTCTTGCTTTTCCTGCCCCGTGAGTGTTAAATTCTCCAAGCCTTTTCCCCTCATTGTGTGCTCTCCCAAATCCCAGCGATATCTTTTTGATAGTAAGCAGCGTTTTTATTGTAGTTCCCATTTCCCCTTAAAACTTCTTCATTAATCACATGCTCTCCCTATGGTATTCTCGACATTCACCAATAGAACTACAGCACTATCGTTTCAAGCCTCTTCTTCATCTACAAGGAGATTGTCCAGCATTGCCTGCCTTATAGCGGTGGAAGTTTCCTCCTCAAACATTGTTTTGTTTTAATATTGGAATTAAACTTAAATACTGCTGACCAATTTCGAAACATAGTAATTTCTGTGTCGCGATGGAATCCTATTTTTTCTACTATGTCACACTTTTCTTCTCCTAAAACACACACACGTATGTGTTTGGGAGTTGTGATGAAAAACAATAATTGACAATGAAATGCACATAATAATGTACTTTTTAGTGCAATCATTTAAATATTGATAAGACTAAAATTCTGTTTATCTTTGCATTGTTGATTTAATCTTGATCTGAAAAATGCATTGAATCATGAATGGAGTGTTGATTCGTATATCCACACACACACATTAATAATTACGCATATATCTATATTTACAATATGACTCAGTGTTTCATGGTTTTTCCAATCATCAGGTACGAAATGTTTTTTAAAAAAATAATTATAATCTAGGCTCTACTTGTGTATCGAGCACTGATTAAAAAAAAAACAAAAACAAAAGTACTAAAGAACTTCGGATTCTTAATCTAACGGTTCTTTCCTATTATAACAATATAGTTGCACACACACACAGACACACACATAAGTGAAATGGTCAGTAATTGAATGACCAAAAAGAAAAGTCCTATATGACCCGATACCTCCTTCAAATGACTTCTTGAGATAATATTTTTGTTGATGGGATGATGTATATGCAGGGGAGAGGAACGAAATTCAACCTGACATCTATCTATCTATCTATTAATTTCAGTCTGTTCATCTATCAATCTATATATATATATATATATATATATATATATATTGAGATTAGTGAAAAAAAAATCTATCATGCTTTTAAATGATACATATATTTAAACAAGTTTACTGAAATCTAGCCAAACCTTGTCATATTAATTTTATTTTTATTGTAATTTTCCAATATTCGAAGAAAATATTGAAAAAACCCAAAACGACAGATCTCGTCTGTTGAAATTAATAAAACTTATTTAAACGTATTCTTTCTGCTTATATGTACATTACACACACACACACACACATATATATATCTGTCTATATTTCTGAGATGAGGGATTATGTACATTATTTACATTATTCGGACTACTGTCTTCAACTTCGTTGCCATATTTATCACAACGTTTCAGCCGTTGTACGCTCCGGTCTTCTTCAGGTGGTTGAAATGTCGAACTAAACCCTTCATTTCGCTCACTGGGTTACTCTGTTCTAGTTACACGTGCCATATCTAATGAATGTCAGTTATCATTCAGTTATCTCCTGTTAATTCTCCTCTCCATGTTCTCCACCGCCTTAACCAGTATTGAACAGACAGTGGGGAACTTGGAGAGATGAATTAACATGATATATATATATATATATATATATATATATATATATATATATATATATATGCAATGTTATATATATATATATATATATATATATATATACATTATTATATAACTTCAAAATCCATCAATTCTTCCGAAAATATCTTATATATATCACTGATATTGCTCACTTTTACCTATGAATATAGCATATCTGAAAACTATATTTTTATCATATATATATATATATATATATATATATATGTGTGTGTGTGTGTGTGTGTGTGTGTGTGCGTGTGTGTGATAAAATATAGTTTCATGGTAAGTTATATTTATGAGTTAAAATGCTCAATATTAGGCATAGACTGTATGTGAATATAAAAGTTAACATTGAAGTCAACACCCTGAGCAGACAGTCTGTTTCATGCTAAACGATTGATGCCCACTTATATATATATATATATATAAACCAGAATATTGGTAAAAAACCAGTACAAATCCTGCCAAGAAAATAAAAATTAAAATCAATAAATCAATAACTAAGAGAATAATTGATATAAAAGGCGTAAAATAAACAAACTGAGAAGAAAAGATCAAAAGAGTAAGACGTAGCTAAACAGTAATCAATAGTGCTCTATGTCTAAATGATCAAGACAGAACAATTACGCTACCCAGCGGCACTACTCAGAAAGAGACAAACTTCAAAGCGCCGCTCGAATTTCACCCTACTGCGATGATGTGTGAGTGTACGTGTGTGTGTATTTATTATCGTTTTTCATTATATTTTAAAATAGTATGTGTTTATATTATTAACTATTAATTAGCTTTTCCATGACGTCAACAATGACGAAAATTACTTAATTTTTTTTACACTTATAGTTGTACTCTGTTCTGTCACGGCGACAGTTTTTTCACCTCCAGATTTCGTCATCAACAACATTCCGCCATTGTCATTTTAAGATCACTGCCACCCGGTGTCGCCACTTTGAGGGAGATAATTCTGTTACAACAAAAAACTAACGACATTACAAAAAAACAAACAAAAAAAAACATTTAGTGCCTTATATACATTTTTAGTTCAGCATTATTCTTCCCTGAAATTGTCTGCATACCTGAAGAGATATTTCGTTTTTTTTTCTTTTGGTGATTACTATCGACGAGCATCCTCATCTTTATTGCTTTTATCACATCAGCACAAAATTAAACAAAAAAAAAAATACAAAAAAAAAACATGTTGATAAAAACAGCAAAGATTGGAAAAATGGTTGAAAATAACTCTTACATTAAGAACACATGGGTAGAAATACAGATTTGAGGTTTCGACTATTTCGTTGCACTTTTACGCGTTTACCCAGAGGAGCATAGTTTGACACAAGGTCACTAATGTGGAGCTCTTCTCCACGCTTTTGATCGAAAGTAAAGCATATAGAAGTGAGGTCATTAAATAGCAGATAGACATTGTTTATAAACAAATAATAATAATAATAATAATAATATTCTAAGTACTACGTCCCTTCAGGTGATCATGGCTCTCCACAACTTCCTATCCTGTGTGGGTGGCTCTTAGCAGTTTTTCTCTTTTTGTTAAGGCCCCCTCTCACTGTTCCGCCATCAATTCACCCGAGCTCGTCAGGTAAGTGGCTTGCTGCTTTCCAATATCTCTCTTGCCCCTCAATGAGTGCTCCATGAGGGTTAAGTTTTCCAAGCCGTCTTTCCTCATTATATGTCCGGCTATTTTTTCTTGATTTTGAGTAGAAGTGTTCTTTCTGTTAGCATTTTCTTTAAGAATTTTAATAATACCAAACAAGCTGACGTAGACAAAACCCGTACCCACCAGTGGCTACGTAGTGCAGGGTTAAAAGCGGAAACTGAAGGTTTTATCCTTGCTGCACAGGACCATTGCTTGCTAATTAGGAATTATCAAGCACATATACTAAAATATTGTGTCAGCCCAGAATGCAGATTCTGTGATAAATATCCAGAAACGATTTATCATCTTGCATCAGGTTGCACGATATTGGCACCCACTGAATA